TAACTGAATGGACAGTATCAACAAGAATCAACTAAGAATTGATAAATAAGTTGTGTAAAGTAATACTGTACTGCAGAAACAAAAATTTGTTAATTTTGCATATAAACCAATCAAGTGAAATAACGAAAGCAAAAAGAATTTTCCAAAAATACTGTTAGTGGTATAGAAGCTGAAGTTTTGAGTAGGAAAAAGGTTGAGAAAAGTTTACACATCATTTCCTATTTATGACATTTCACTATATCTGTACTAGACACATTTTACCTGCACTTAGAATGTGCAAATGTCGAGTAATTACATTTCACTCTTCTCAACCTTGGATAGAGTACTGCGATAACAGATTGGAGTTGAAGGTAAAAATAAATAGCAAAAATAGGCAATGAAAGGGTGAGAAACCAACCAATGGATTGTGGAAGTCGAGATCGCAATTTTGCCATTGCAGCAGAACATGTTCGCGTCATGCCGGATTTAGCACATCTGAACATCTTGATACCAGAAACTGCTAGATCAATATATCTAAAAGTGATCAACAAACTGTAATGAGTAGCAACCTACCCATCTTCGTACAGCTTTCTCAATTTTTCGAGTTGGAAGTTGACTGTTCTGGGGTTCTTCTCATGCATTTCTCTCAGGACTTCATGGTCTTTAGCCATCTTAATGAGATCATTTTTTTGACTGTCGAAAATGAGGATTAGCATGATCCCAAACAGCGCAATGATCCATGCTTTGGTTGAGGACTCACCTGAATGTCTAGCGCTTGAGCTTCTTCGATGGCCATTCGATAAAATTCATCAGCTCCTTCAAACAATGGAGTATCCTTCAATATTTGAAGGGCATCTTTCAAGCGATCGTTGATAGTATTTGCAACATCTGTGCGAATAATTGCGTCGGTGTCACACATCAGGCTGCGCAGCAGAACGCATACCGCGCGCTATGGTAGTCAATCGCGACGCCGCAGCGGAAATTGGTGTCGCCGGGGGGTGCGTGCCTTTGCTTGTGACTGTCAGCAAAAACTCGCCGCACGCGCGGTCAGAGCGGCACTGCTTGCTTTTTTGCTTTAGGG